CTTTCAGGTATTTTTTTGAGGAGTGATGGTGGGAAGGGGGAGGTTTGAGGCTGAAAGACAGAATGCTGCAAGTAAAGCAAGGCAGTTAAAAGAAATCCTTGCAGGAGGAAAGCATTTGCCAGGGCTTGGGAAGAAGCACTGTTTTTTCAGGGGTGGGATAAATTGGTGAGAGAGAAGTTGAGTCTGCTGGGACTTGGGTCCCCACGAAGCTGGAGGGATCTCTGATGTCTTCAAAAAATTCATCCTGGTTGCCTGTATGAGATGAAGTCAACAAGAAGCGGAAATCTCTCTTCTTTCTTGTGTTCTTTTTTTGTGCAAAGGGTTTGCGTGTTTTTCCGAAGAAAAAAGTGTATCTTGGGAACCCCAACGTGGTGTTGTGGTCGCTCCTGTTTTCATACCGATGTCTGTGTATTTGGGTCTGCCCCATCTGTTCTACCTTTGCTTGCCGCTTCACGCATTTATTTTCACTTCAATTTCTGAAGCAGTGACATTGTGCACTGTATTTTGAGTGCTAATGTTGATTGAAGTTCTCCCTGAAAGGATGTGCACTTGAACTGTCGAGAGAGTGAGTGATTGACAGCAGGTAGAAGTACTTTTTGTGTCAAGGCTTTGTCAAGTCATTGTTGTAAAACCGACTTTGTTCCAGCGCCTTTTTAGAATGATATTTGATATTTAATACTTCAGAGCCCTTCCCTAATAGGCAAATGCAAGGGGAGGGAGTAGCGGTACTTTGCGCTAGGTTAGTCCAGTTGGGGGGCTCCCGTGCACATATTTGCAGCCCCAAATAAAGGGAGAAACTCTTTTCATTCCTTTATACGCTGATGCTGAGAGAATCTGCGTGGCAGAGTTTGTTTAATACTGTGTCTTTTATAACTGCTTATTCAGCACATGTTCCAGCATAAAGATGTTTAATAACTGACAGCTGTTGATTTTTTTTTCTGCAAGAAATGTTTCCTTTTTTCTATGAATACATGCTTTAAAATAAATTGAATAATTCTATAATGATCTTAAAGATTTTAAATAGTCTAAATACAACTTTACTGATCAAAGCAGCTTACTATTCTCAAACTCACTTTTACCATTGGAGGATGCCTGAAATGTTTTACTCCTTTTATTTATTTTTGCATCGATGCTTGATTTTTTTTTTTCCCCCCTTCTCCTTATGTCAAAATGCTTTGTAAGTAGAATTCCCCTGGTTTGCCTTCGGAAAGGCTAACACAGCGCTGGGTGAGCAGAATTTGACCGAGGCCTTTGTTACAGGTACTTACCATCTGCGGCCAGGAGATGGTTGGGTGTGGAGGGCGAGCTGAACACTGAGGAATTGCCACCTAGAGCAATTTATTGGGGATCCGGAATCATTATTTGCTTTACCAAAGCGATTCAGATTCCACTGCCGTTGGTTTTGGTTACAGCATGAATTTTAAAGAGAATTTCTAATCCAATCGGAAGGCTGAGCATTACTATGCTGTCTCCTTTCACGCTCTGTAAGGTTTTTAGCACTGCTGCTTGATCACTGTAAGAGAAATCATTTCATTTTGGTGTACTCGGACAACGAAGGGAATGTAATTGTTTTGTCCGAAAAACTCGTACAACTCCACAAATGTCGGAAATGCTTTATTGCTCTGGAAACACAGAGAGAGAGGGTCTCGGGAAGATGAATGAAGATGTCATCTCGTAGATGGAAACTTGGTAAAAAGGACCTGCTCTATTAAAAAAGCTGGCTGAGACGGCAGAGGGGCTTTGGGTAAAAAGTAAGCAGAAGTGTGGTTGTTGAATCTTGTAGTTCTCTGGGCTTGTAAAAGAGGTAAATCTAAGGAAAAAGATACTGTGTTAAAAATGCAAGGAGTATTTGGGCTTAATTACTTTCCAGAAACAAAACCTGCAGAGAGAATAACTTGCAATACCCAACAGCGCTCTCAGGGAGTCAATTGAACATCTTGTTTAATTTGGGGCTGTTAAAATCAGGTTGCATACAGAAAATAAACAGAGCGGTGGTTGGATCCAGTGATGATCTTGTCAGACCTGAAAGAGCCGCATTCACATATTCCGTGTAAGGATGTGTCAGGGGTTGTGGTTTTGGGAAATACGCCGGTGTTCGTACTACAGATGCATGTCCTATGTGTTTTGATGAAAACGTGTATCTCATACATAAGGCACTCCAGTGTACTACTGGAGTAACAGGTTTCAGAGTTTGGTTTTAACAGTTTATCTAGTGGAAGGAGCAAATTCTGGAGTAGCAGGCCAAAGCGTGCCCCAGTTCCGATCTTTCAGGGTGCCCAGTTGCATTTGTTGGGGCTCTGGGATAAAGCAAGGCTTGCGTTTGGTCCAGCATGAGTAACATGAGTAATAGGACAGTTTATACAGTTCAAGAAGAAATGTTCAGCGTTTGTGTTGAGCAAATTAAAGCATGGGAAGTAACGGAGGAAGCAGTACAGCTGCCCCAAATGGAAAAGAGAGGGAAAGGGAAGTTGAGGTGGAAGAAGCTCTGAGAGATTGTGTTGTTTTCTGGCCTTGAGTTTCACCGGGTTGCTTTTGTTGCAAGAAGACAAATCATTACACGCTTTGCTTTTCATGAGTTTTAACACCCCAGCAGAGACAGATGAATTAAAAATACGTGGAAATGCCTACAAGGAGTCAATATAAGCCCGGCCGACTTCACCACACAGATCCTGGAGAGATGTTTATTCACATGTTCTTAGAGAACCCGTTGCTGTGTAGTTTGCAGCAGGGGTTCATCAGGGTCCGGCGATCCTTTGGCAGGGATGCTTTGTCGCCTCTTTTCGTGGTCCTGGCTCCGTTCTTCGTTGGAACGCGTGTATTTAACGACTCGCGCCAGCTGAGATGTCTAGTGTTTCTTACCAGGAATCTTTAATACGTGTTCTTGCTTTTTCTCTTGAATTCAGGTTGTGAAAGGCCTTACCTATTTATGGAGTCTAAAGATTTTACACAGAGGTGAGTAACAGATGTTTTCTGTTTTCCAGTGAAATACCATATTATTTTATTTTAACAACACCTTTTACAGAGACAGTAGACCATACTAACATCTGGTTGGATTCCAGTGGAGTAAGGCAGAATGGATCTTACTTATTAGCCTTGCAGATTTTCTGATAAAATATTTTTACTGCTTTTCTCTTTTATTGCCCTCTCTCCTCCCCTACAAAGAAAAATACTAAAGAGATAAATTAACTTTATAGAGATTTAGATGCTTAGGGTTACAAACAGGTGCCCAGCAGAAAAAACAGCAAGGAAAATCAGATGTTTGACTAGTACTGAAAATAGAAGATAGATAATGAATTTTCTTAGGTACTTCAGAAATCTCACGTGACAGCCGCAAGCATTGCCGGAGTCTCAGATCTCTAAAATCGTCGCCTGCTGTCCTCTAACATGGTCATGAATTGAAGAAACTTTAAACCTGCTTGGACATAAGCCATTTTTGGTTGTTGCTGTTTATTCTCCTTCCTGAAACTAATCTGTATTTTTTAAACTCCTCATTTCTTTCTAGCTTATTAATGTTGTTAATTTTTTTTTTTAAATGTATCTGTTGTGGTAAGTTAATTCAGATGTACTAGAACTTTCAAAACCAATGTCAATTCTGGAAACAGTGGAAAATGCTGTTTAAAGAACAAAGAAGCTCTTCCCCCCTACAGCACCACTACCACCACCCCCCAAAAAAAAAGAAACTCATTACATTTATAATGTTTCTAAAGTGTCTGAAAGTAACTGCTCTGGTTCCTAATGTTGCTAACAATACTGTTTAATTTAACCCATCTGCTCACTCAGCCCGCATGCACAGTTGGAGCGTGCAGTAACCGACATCACTGGTGATTGAAAGAGGAGCGTAAAGTAGGGAGTCACGTAGCAAATTTTAAGTTACAAACCGAATAGGTAAGAGCGTTTCTGCTGGGGTGCTTGGTTTTGGAGTGGCTGAGAAGCAGGTGCGAGGCTGCGGCAAGGCGATGAGGAGCGCTGGGTGAGGCGCCCGGTGTGAGCAGTGCAAGGATTCGGGCACCTCTGGAGAGCCATCCCGGAATCTCTGCTCTGAGGGGGAGAGTAAGCTAGTAGGAAACACTAATTACCAGCACGTGTCGAGGTCCTGCCCCTCCTTAGAGCTCAGACTGTCCTTGGGCTTCTGTGGCGTGGGTTTGTAGTGGAGGAGGAGGAGGGTGATCCTTCCGTGGTGTAATGGCCCAGCAAGCAGCTCTGCACCAGGACCTGAGCGTCGATTCCCCCTTGGTCTCACTGCATCTCCTTCCCGGGGCATCGCTCTGACCTGAGAGCACAGACGTTCTCCTGGGTAGGAGAAGGAGGGCTGTGGCCAGAAGAGTGAGTCGAGATCGGGTAAGGACCTGGCTTTGTTACCCCCGATTAGAGGGTGAGTGGGATGCCGAGGCTGCTGGTGTGTTTGACCCTGGGCTGTTCCTGCATTGAAAGAGCAGAAATAACCAGGAGTCCATCACCAACCCGGTGCAGGCACAGGTCACCGAGGAGGCTTCATTTCTGATGATGATTTAACATTTCACCTGCTAGCCTGAATGTTGCCAGATGCAGAGATTTATCAGCTCCATCCACTCGCAGCAAGGGGATGAACAGCCTGGGTGCCAGAGCTGCTGCTGCAGCTGGCAGGAGAAATATAAAACGAAAAGTAGTTGGAGCATCTGTGGCTGGGCATTGCTCTGAACAGGCTACAAAGTCTTTGCAACACTTTTGTAACACCCAAAAGAAAAAGCCGATTCGAAATATTTTTTTTTTTCTCCATTTTTAATTTTTTCTTTAAAGATTCTGGCCAGCTACTGAAGGTGATTTGGAGAGAGCGCTGTGGTCAAGCGTCATTACTGTAACTTTTTGTTGTTGTTCTGCTGTACATTTAGAAGCTGGTCTGATTTCTTGCTCTCTCCGTAAAAAAGAATCTCCCTTTCTGCATGGGTTTCATTGCCTTGATTGAAGAGCAGCTCTGAGTTTTTGATGAATTATGTATGGTCCTTGCTGTGCTCTAAAGAAAAGTGCGGAAACTGATTTTTCATCACACTTCAGATTTTTCTGGCCTTGGTCTGTTGCTGGACTGACCAAGGTGAGAGCAGCACTGCAGGGTGCCATGGAGGGGACAACTAGCATTGCAGCATCCAGCAGAGCTTCCTCAAGGGACGACTTTTCAATGTTATTACTCTGTGCCCATTTTTAAGATACAGAAAATGTGCGTGTTCTTCTATGTCTTAAAAATGGGCGCAGAGTAACACGTTGCAAGGCAGGTGCCCGTTTCTCAAAGTAGTCTCCTTCAGCCGTCTACTGGTTTTAAGGCAGGAGAGCTAAAGGAAAGCAAATTTGAGCCTGCCTTCCCTGCTGTCAGATGTAAAGCAGACCGTGGCGGAAGCTCACGTAGGCTAAGAAGCCACCAATTTCCATCATGGTGAAGAGGCTGCGTAAAGCAGTGCAGCGAACGACAGTTTGTGACTAAAGCGTGGATGAAAGCAAAGGAGACAAACAATGAGCAAGTCTTTTATTTCAGATCAGACATTTCAGCAAATATTACAGCTTAACTTCAAAACAAACCTTGCAACTAATGAGGTGACAGCCGTGCATATTAATAAACCCAACGCTGTAGTCATAGTCATCACACCCACATCAAACGTAAACATAAGATTAACACCTACCCCACTTCTTTGGAAGATGTGAGAATGTCCCAATGATAAGTGTGCTCTTTTCCCCAGAGGATAAGAAGTAGAAATGGAAGGGTAATGAGAAATTAACTTAGATTTAAAACCGAATTAGCAATTAAACAAGTCTAATCATGTACAAAGTCAAAGTTTGTATAAAGACAAACCAAAATCTGTTAAGTTCAAGAATAAGTATGGACCGTGTGCATTCTATCTGGTACGTTTTTCTCTGTTCACACCTCCTTATTAAAGGAGATGTATGAAATCAGTGTCACCCGCTTGTGTTTAATTGTGCCGAGCTGTGTCTGTAGGCAGGGCTGTGTACTGGGGGCCCGTGTGCGTTGCGCGGTTTGGGGACCTTGCTTTCTGCCTGGGTTTGAAATTCGTGTCAGAGTTTTTGGAAGCGTTTTCTACCTTGTGATGTGCGAGGCTGAACAGCCTGGAGCGGAGGGGTGCTGCCTGCTGGGGACGGGCAGGTGTGCGGTGCGGACGGCGAGTGTTCCCCTCGTCTCGGCAGGAACCGCAGGGTGCCCAGGATTTCACCACAGGTGACCAGAGCAGCGTCTTTGACTTTTTTTCCCCCCCTGCTTTTTTAGCTTTGTGAGAATTAATCAGGATTAGTGCCACATGTAATGAAACACAAGTGAAAATGCTAGGGCACGTGTGTGTACGTGTATATACCTACCTACGTGTGTGTGTACGTATAGCTAACCACATACATGCACACACATGGACCACTTAGGCTTATTTAAAAAAAAAAATCACGGCCTCTGCAAAAAGCATGCTGATGAGGTCATTATGGCAAGAAAATATTTTCATTCTTCCACCAGCTTCACTTTAACAGTAATGTTCTGTGAGCTGTCTGCAGCTAAAATTGTGCTTTTGTGTCTCCTATCTCCCTTGAACCTGCCGTACTGCAGGTTTTATGTGTTTAAAAGACAGAAAAAGTCAAGAGACAGCTTTTAAAAATACTTGTGGGTTGTTGTTTTTTTTTTCCCCACAATCATTAATCTGTTTGCCTTTCAATAAAACAAGATGATTGAAATGTTTGGTGTTCAAAGAGCTGAACCTCTGACAGTTCTGTTTACTGGTAAGTAAGAGCTTGGAGGTCCCGTTTGTTTGCAGAGAGGTGAAACGACTTAGGCAGATATATCATAAAGAGGACTTGTTCATCCTCTGTAATGATGCTTCATAGAAATCATTTGTATTAAGCAAGCACTGGTAATGGGAGCATAATGACCCCTTTTGGCTCTTGTTTAAATTCTTTCACTTCTAAACAGTAATATTAATCACAAGCAGATGGTGCAGAACATTATTTATGCACATTTGTTTTCCAAAACCAAAAAATGTTTAACCCATTAACTGAAGCGCTTTATGAAACAAAAAGTCTGATTTCCCGATCGGGTGATTTTCCCCCCCACTTTCGACACAAGACACTCTGTGAAGTGGCATTTGTGTCCAGGACGGTCACTTCCTTTTTCCTGGAAGAAACCAACGCCGCCATTGGAACTCAGAGCAAATATTTGCTTCAATCCCCCATTGGCGGTGCGGTTTAAATTCTGCTGCAAGGACAGACCGTGTTTGTTCTTAGCAGAGCTTGGGCGGCTGCAGCTTGCTCGGGAGAGTCCCCACCCTGCGTCGGCGTCGCGGCCTCGGGGGGCTGATCGCCCGTGGCTTTTTTTCCTTTAGGATTTTCTCTTTTGGTTTTGTTTGTGGAAGGATTTCGGGATCAAGCGACACTTAGTGAATGACAGATGGGTTTTTTTAATTATATGGACTCACTGTCACGTGCCGCGTGGTGGCAGGGAAGGGGAGGTGGGGTCTGCAGATCCCCGGTGACGCAGGGGCATGGCCCTGCCTGCCTGGGAGCTGGGCAGCGCTGGTGGCACCAGGGACAGACGTGGCCCGGTGCTCTCCTCGGGTGGATCGCGTTAAGGGAGCAAGGACTCGTGGGCTACGCTTGGAGAACGTCCTTCCTCTTCCTCTGAACCCATGGCACGGCTGAGTCCTACAGAAGGAGAATTTGGCTACGTGCGTGGTGCCTCGTCATCACTTTCCGAGAGGTCGTGGTGGTTCACGCCTGGAGCTGCCTTCTGCCTTCCCAGACCCTGCCTTCTACTCGAAGGATTTCTGCGTTTTTAAAATACGATGTGATTGATCTGGTCCTGATCCCACAAACCGTACTGCGCCAAAAGGTTTTTCACAGAATCACAGAATGTTTGGGGTTGGAAGAGACCTCTGTGGGTCATCTAGTCCAACCCTGCCGCCGAAGCAGGGTCACCTAGAGCAGGCATTTCTTGTCCATTTGGCTGTTAATTATTTTTGTTACATCCTTTGCAATTAAAAGCAGGAGCCTCTTGTTATACTACAGGGCTTTTTTAGGAGTATTGGTACTACAAGCAGCTGGATTCGAGGTGCAGAATGTCAGTATTTTCTGTGTGTGTAGTTGCATCTGCTGTTTAGTTCATTACAATTCAGCGCAAGCCTAGTAACGAGGTAGCTCTGCTGGCTGCCGTATTTTTAGAAAGAAGGTTAAACAGGATTACTGTGCAACTTGCTGTTCTGCTCGGGATTCAGGACAGAGCCCGCTGCTGTGCTCGGCACGTCTGCTTGGATGTAGCCCAGTCACTCGGCTCCGGGGAGGAGCGTGCCGCTCCGCGGGCTGCCACGGGCGAAGGTCCGAGTCTCCCTGAAGTTTTGGGTGGAAAACATATTCCTAAAACGATGTTGGGAAGCGTAGGGGAGCTGCTGCGCCTGCGAGGGTTGCTCTGTAGCGGTGCTCTGTCTCGTCACCTGAGGCGGATGAATAGGTAAAAATCCGTCAGAAATGCCCGGCCGGATCGAATTCCTGAAGCCGGGAGGGAGACCGCGCACGCGAACGGAGTCTGGGCATGCTGCAGCGCGGTGGAGACGCTCGTGACTGAATTTGCTTTCAGCTTTGGGGAGGAAATTGCAAAACGTATCGGCAGTATTGATACCCAGCTTAAAACATACGGATCCACTGAAGCTGTATCCCATACTGTTGAATGGTCCCCTTTTTTAAACTGGATTTTTAGCTCAAATATGGGAAAGCATTTAATCAGCTTGTTAATTGAGGTTATACATTTCTACACTACAGAGACAAATTAAGCAAGCTACTGTGGTACCAGAAAACATCTGCTAAACCAAGGCAAACTTAATGACAAACAAAATTAGGTTCTTTTCTAGTTGGGTTTCATCCATCTGCACCCAACTAGTGTTCAGTTTTAAAGAAGGCAGAGACACAAGCTATTGCTTTTAATCCGTTTTGACAGAAGAAAGCAGCGATTAGGCAAAGCCACTGTGCTCTAATCTTCCCAAGTTGAAGCCAGGCCGTAGCGCACATTAGGCTTTCCGACTGGCATCCCTGGAACAGAAAGATGCCCGATGTTTCCCACCCAACAGTCAGCCTGGGTGTTTATTCACACGCCGATTTTACAGTATCCAGCAGAAGCGTACCAACTTCTTTTGGCGTCGGAGGGGGTCAGCATTAAGATCCTTGCGCTGACAATCTGGCTTTACGATGTGCATTGATGTTTTATGTGCTGGGGCGGGATTATTAATCATTTTAAGGCGTTGCTGGCAGTTAACCTCTGGAAAAGCCCTGGAACCGTGAGATCGGAGCCGTTTTACACGGCGGGAGCCATGGAGGTGGAAGCCGGTGGCTTCGAGTAGCGGCGTGCGCAAGAGCAGAGCTGCGCTGTGGGTGTTGCTGGGGCGGAAGGAGGCTCGCCTCTGCGTCTGTGTTTTGCCTGTGTCCCTGTATATGGGTGTTTGTATGGGATACTTGGCATTTTCAGTTTTTATAGAATATTAAATTCTGCTCCCGTCGCTACGCGGAATGAAGCGAGGGCTGTTAGAGGAGAGGGAGACGGGGTTAATTGCAGCGTTACCGTACGAAGTTGCAGGGCTGGGGTGAACCTGAAAAGGTCAGGCCGGCGATCCTTCGATGCGAAAACAGGCTTCAGTCTGCGCCGTTGCTTTTGGCTTGTTCTTAAATTGTCCAGAGTTTGTTCCCTCTCTGTCATTTCCACTTCATGCCGTAATCCGCAGATCCTTCTTTTGCAGACCTGCTCCAGCCTACACTCCAGGCAGTGGTTTAAGCCTATATTTATGCAGTTCACAGAATCACAGAATAGTAGGGGTTGGAAGGGACCTCTGTGGGTCACCCATCCCAACCCCCTGCGCAAGCAGGGTCACCCAGAGCAGGCTGCACAGGACCTGGTCCAGGCGGGTCTTGAATATCTCCAGAGAAGGAGACTCCACAGCCTCCCTGGTCAGCCTGGGCCAGGGCTCCGTCACCCTCAGAGGGAAGAAGTTCTTCCTCATGTTCAGCTGGAGCTTCCTGTGCCTCACTTTGTGCCCATTGCCCCTTGTCCTGTCACTGGGCACCACTGAAAAGAGCTTGGCCCCATCCTCCTGACACCCACCCTTCAGATATTTATAAGCATTTATTAGGTCCCTGTCTAAACGTTGTGCTTCCACTGGCCCCTATTGAATTTCATCTTGCTTTTTCAGTCCGATTTTCCAGTTTGTCAAGATCACTTTGAATTCCAGGTCCTGTCCTTCAGTGCATTTGCTTGCCCTCCTGGATTGGTGTCACCTGCAGATTTGGACTCGATAACCTTTAGGGTCTTTTCCAACCTAAATGATTCTGTGATTTAAGAACAGCGATTATCAGTACTCGAGAGGTGCGGGTGTAATGTCGTCTTTGCTACCGGCGGTCACAAACCAGAGGTTGTGTTTGAAATACATCTTTGACATATTTGCTATTCAAATCCGTCACGCCAATGTTCCTAACGATCTCTGTATGTACGCCGCGTCTCTAGGATGATACAGATTAAAGCCGGCTTTGTTCCCCCGCCAGATGTGAAGCCGTCCAACATGCTGGTGAACACGCGTGGCCAGGTGAAGCTGTGCGACTTCGGGGTCAGCACGCAGGTAATTCCCCCTCCAGCTCTCTGCCCGCTCCCTTTTTGATGCCAGCATCCCTGGCTGCCAGGCCGGCAGCCCCCCAGCACGCTCCCCTCTGCTGGGACAGCCCTATTCATTTTTAATCTCTGGGTGACTTTTCTTCATCTGAATATGATTGTTCATTGTTTAATGACAGTAAAAACTGCTGATATTGTAATTACTACTTACGAATAGCAAACTTCATTGATATGCAGCTTTGATATGAAAGCGTTTTGGCCAGACAAAAGGGAGGGCAGAACGAGAGACGTGTCTGGGGAGCCCAACTGGCCCACAATAAAAATTAATATTGGGAGTAACAATGGTGGTGGGCTTTTACAATGTGCAGCACAAATTTTAATTAATTTCCATTTTGGGCCTCCCTGGAGAACTTCTCTGATAGTGACCCGTGAGCTTGCTGTGATGTTGATTTGAATTTCAGCACCTTTACTCTCCGCCAAACACGAGGACCAAAGAGAAGGTCAGCCTTGTATTATGAGTTGTCAGAGCCTGTTGTCCCTCCAGCGTATTTAGTGCTCGTTGCATTCGGGTGATGAATGTGGCTTTATTCACATCTTGAGCCAGCTGACTGAAAAATGAGCGCTTTCAATCCTACGTCAAATTGACTTTTTATATCAGACTAGTTTGGGGTACTAAAGCGATAAGCATCCTGTTTAACAGAATTGTTTAAGGTTATCTGCCATAAACTGTAATGCAGTGCTTGTTTAAATTGGAACTCTCATTCCGAACAAAAGAGAGATTTAATCATTTTTAATGCCTTGGCAGATAAATTTGTTCCCTTTTACATAATTTTTAGTTGATTTATAGGAATGATGATTGTAGGTTAAATGAGGAATAATTGCCCATTTTATTTCCACATTATCTTTATATTGTTCTAACAGACTGTTTTGTCTGATAGCTGGTGAATTCTATAGCCAAGACGTATGTTGGAACAAATGCTTATATGGCGGTAAGTGGATTTATGCCGGAATAACATTTAAATAGAAGTATTTGTTCACAGTCTTGCTCGGTGTAATGCAGGGATATACTCTAAATCATTTCTCAAACTTCATCTCTCCCCATCCCCAGCATAAGCTGTGTCTTAATTGTGCGTGCCACGGAACGGCTCCCTTTTACTGTCGCGCAGCCCCACTCCCTTTCTCTCTGCGCTCGCCTTCCAGCGGCAGCTGCTCTGCTTGCTGGTAGCGACGGGCAGAACTGGGAAGGTGTTTCTTTCATGTGGTTTTAGTTGCCTTTAATGCATTGTAACAACTGGGAACAAAGAAGAGAGCCGGTTCGACGTTAAGAAAACAGTTTTCCATCGATAGCCTGCGGCTCTCTGCAGACCGGCCTGCCGGTCCGGTGCTGCGCGCGGTTGGGGAGCCGCTGCTGGGAGCCTGCGCTTTAGCAGAGCGTGCGGACCCGTCTGGGTCTGTCCCAGGTGAAGCTGCCGTGGAAATTTGAAGCTAAAAATAACTAGACTAATAATATTAGGGCATTAGATTGCAATTTGTGTCATGTTACTATCGCACGTATCGAGTCATGGATACATTTCACTTTTCTATATCAATTTTGGTCAGGATGCTTGTTATGATGAGACTACTTTTGTCCTTTTTCCCGTCGTTTAAACAAATTCCCATCGTTTTGAGATCGACGTAACGCATTGCTGGAGAGGTCCCACTTGGAGGAAGGCGGCTGCTGCTGTCAGCTCGGGGTGTGGGGGTGGGTTTGGGGTCGGCAGTTCTGGCTGAGCTCCTGCCGTGGGGTGCTCAAGTCAATGCCATCAGTCTGGTGACGAGAGCCAGCTGAAAGCAAACTCCCAAAGTTAAGGGGTGTTTGCCCTTAGATCACCTTGAATAATTTTAGTTCTTCATTTAACAGATGTGAAAACTTCAACGCTTCAGTTCAGAGCAGTGTATTTACTGCTGTCTTTTATTTTTGTCCATTAAAATTCTTTTAGCAAACTGCTTACATCGTAATAGTAATGAGGAAAAAAGTGTTTGGCTTGTTTAAAAAAAAAAGTGTAAACAATACAAAGTGGTTGATCCTTGTGTTTTTCAAACCTCAGAAGAGAGATAAATCCATGACCTTTAATCGCTTTCAGGTGTTTTTTCTTACTTTCTTGTAAGAAGCAAGCAGACCAGGGTATCCATTTATTTGCTAAGTGCTTTTCTAGTCAAGGTGTACTCATTATGTGGCTCCTGAAACACTCATGTCACCATCCTAGAAAGACTTGGGCTGTCCTGTGTCATCAGAATATTATGTGCAGAAAAATGTTTTTTTTTAAAAAAAAAAAGAGAGAGAAAAAAAAAATCTGGTCTTATGTATTACCACTTTCGCTAGCAAGCTTGCTGATTCCTGTGCCTCCATTTTCTAAAAGAACCGGAATGTAGCGATTCAGACAAATTAACAGCTTCAAATTCATCAACTTTTCCAACTCAGCTGTTACTCCAAGAGGGTCATAAGCAGGGCTGAGAATGAAATTGTATTATGCTTCTAGTGTACACATCAAGATTACTGTTCTCTTTCCCAGGTGTACATTAAATAAATTACTTTTATTGTTTATGGATGAATGTGATGCATTCATCTATTCATGGAAAAAGAGACGCTTAAGCTAAAACGTACTTGATCTGATTTCTTGTGTTAAAATTGTATTGCTTGCTGCGCGAGTCATTTGTTGTCGTCAAATTTGTAGTCTAGCCATCAAAAAACAATGAAGGTCATAAGCTTTGGGTTGTCTGCCTCCTTGGTAGACTGTGGGTGAATTTGAAACCCTTAAAAAATTTGAGGTTTCTGTTTAAAATAAACAAGCAAAAAAGCTTTTTGATTGAGAAATTGAAATTTCCAACACAAACACATTTTCTGTAAAATCATTTTATCAGCACTTCATACATAAAAATTTTTGGGGGTGAAAAAAGTAACCAGCTGTAGGAATTTTGAAGAGAAAATCTTTTTGAGCTGCCTATCCTTAGGACGGTCCCTGTGTGCACACTTTACTTTGGGCATGTGCTATTCTTCTTTTCATCTTTTTTCCCATGCTCTTAAATTCACGTGACCAGACTTCTTGCTTAAATGTGCCGAGGACTGGCTTGCGGCTGCCTTCCACGAGTACAGAATTTCTGACCAGAAGTTGCTGTTTCAAACCTGAGCTGTTCTAGGAGCAGGATAAACAGTGCTGTGTTGCTCAGCGTGGACCGTGCCTCTGACCTGGCAGCTCGGGAAGGGCCAGGGTCTCATCTGCGCTGCAAAGACCCGCGAGCGTTATCGCCTTGCCCCAGGTGCGGTCTCTGCCGGGAGCAAAGCGTGCGCGGCCGGGCTGGCCCGTACCGGGTCGTGTTCTGAGGGCAGATGCGTCTGCAGATCTCCATCCGTAGGAGGGTCGTTGTCAGTATAAAATGATGCTTAAAAATCAGATCCCTGTATGGTGCTGTTGCAAAGGTTTCTAAGATCCGCTGACCTAGGCGAGCTATACTTAATGAAGGCTTGCCTTAATGAACTTAAAAAAAAAACTAAGAATTTTTGGGTCACTGTTCAGCTCAAAATAAATGAGTCTCAGTCAAAAAGATTTCGTTCCAGTTAAATTCCGGGGTTTTTTTTTAGGTTATGGCAGCTGTGGAAGGCCGTCCGTAAAGGTAGCATGAGCAGCACGGTGTTTTTTACTTAACGTTCATGCTGCGCTAAAAGCTCTTGACCTGGGATTAGCAGCGCAGGGTAAACATCCGAAAACACATCGGACTGGCGCTAATTTGGGAGTTTGTTTTCTAAAAAAGGTCTCTGGATTGTTAAAGACTAAAAACACAGCCGGTGCTTCGTAGGTGGCTGGGCTAGACAGGTGCATTAACAGCACAGTGGGGAGAGAAGTCTCCCGGAGCCTTTTATTGTTACATTTCATGCTGTACTTGACCTTGGAAATGCTTAAATTGTAGCTTTCAAGTAAAAACCAGCAGTTATATTTTACAGCATTCTATTTCATGAGGCATTAAACTTGCTATTAATAGTTTTGAGTGAAGTCTTTTTTTCTACGGGTCAAAAATGAAATTAAAAAAGTATATAAAATAAAATTGCTGGCATGTGACTTCATTGATTCTTTTGGCTTCAATAACTTTGCTTTTTAAACCGTAGGGTACTCCCCAAGCCCTTGGCTCGACGTTAGGAGTCTGTTCTCCTAACGTACCGTGCTGCTGTGCTGGGGCTTGGTGGATGTATGGACCCTGTAGAGGTAGAGACCCAGTAGATGCATGGACCCGGTAGATGTAGAGACCCAGTAGATGGGTGGACCCGGTAGATGTAGAGACCCAGCAGATGGGTGGACCCAGTAGATGTAGAGACCCAGCAGATGGGTGGACCCAGTAGATGTAGAGACCCAGTAGATGCAGAGGCCCAGCACATGCGTAGACCCAGTAGGTGTAGAGACCCAGTAGATGCAGAGACCCAGCAAATGCATGGACCCAGGAGAGGCAGAGACCCAGCAGATGCGTGGACCCAGCAGAGGTAGAGACCCAGCAGATGCGTGGACCCAGCAGAGGTAGAGACCCAGCAGATGCGTAGCCCACAGGACTCTCACAGCTTTGTTGCGTGGGTGCGAGCCATTGGCCTTTCTTGTTGGAGAAACCAGCCCAAACACAGATGCCAAGGCCAGCTTACGAGGTGCATAGCAATGCATGGCTGCAAGTCTGAGCATAACCGAGGCCTTTGCTCTCGCAGAAGAGGCAAAACCAAATAAACACGGCGTGTTTGAAGAGTGGGTTTGCTTTCTGCCAGGTTAGCCGGTGAGCTTTAAGCTTCTTTGCATTTTTTCAGCTGATTTGTTTGCCACGGGCTAGCTTTTGTGGAATGGGTGCGAATGTTTGCTTGCTAGGCTCAAGAAGATGTTTCTTTCCGTCTCTTTGCAGCCTGAGCGGATTTCGGGAGAACAGTATGGAATTCATTCGGACGTTTGGAGTCTAGGGATTTCCTTCATGGAGGTATGCAAATATGTTTTCATGTGCACAACGGAAGAATCAAATGTATCAAAAATATTTTAATGTAGTCTTTGTATACTCTTTTATATGTGCATGCTTTTAACTATTGCTAAATTTCTTGGCTGTATTTAGAATGGATTTGTTCTTACTGCGTTCAGTTTGGTTGGACACAAAGAGCCTCCGTACGAGCCATCGAGCGGTCTCGAGCCCTCCGATGAAACTCTGTGTGAGAGGAAGAAACAGGGCCTGGTACCTGGCTGCCTCTGGGCTGGGAGATGGTGGTGTTTCTGTACTGCACCTTCGCAGGCCAGGACAGAGGCCTTTTTGAGGGTTAGAACAGTTATGCAGATTGAAGGTTTGAGCTGGTCTATGGCCTTGCAAAACCTCCGCAGAAACATTTGCAGGATGGTGTGAGCCTTTCCCTGTGTGATTAAATAAAGTGTTTGAATTTAAGTGTTCACAAGGGCTTTTAGAGATTTCTCACAAACAGAGTTTCAGGCAGGAGGAAGCCCTACCAAAACGAAGCAGTGCAAAGAGAATGTGGTCGCAAATGCAGTCACTCAGGAGAAGCCGTGCTGTCTGCAGGTTTGGTCAGGACAAGGTCAGGTTTGGTTCAGGAGAAAGGCTGGGTTTTCGGCGTAGGGCTCCTCCAGGTGTTTCAAGAAACAGGAAATTCAGTGATTTTAAAAAACAGATTATGATTTTTTATAGGAAAGATAACCTGGACTGTGTAAGTTGAGTAGGAATGCCTGTGTTATGATAACGTCCTGATCAGTGCAATCAGATCTGGCTTGGCCTGGTCCGGGAGAAGGGACAGGTAGCTCTGGTCTGGTGGTGGCGACAGAAAAGGGTACGTTGACGTCCCCTGTTCCATGCTGGCCTTGGCTGGCCACAAACAGGTGAGCTACATTCGGCAACCCTTGTAGCCTTGACGTCTTGGCTTCTCCAACTCAAGGACAGTCCCGTGAAAGATACTCCCGCTGCATGGAGCAGTTGTTTCGTCCTATAAGAACAGTTCGTTCCAAACCATCAAGGACTTGCGTCATCTTTCTTGCACAGCCTGATGAAGGCATGATACAATTAATCGAAAAATAGAGGTGCCCTTCCCTTCTCTTCTGGTGTAGTGTAGCATCATTAAGGTGAAGCTGAATATACCTTTTGGTGAAGTGCAACTGATGCTTTTAGCAGAAGATTAGAAGTCAAGTAGCCCTGGTGCTGGCCCTCTGCATCCAGGCAAAGATCACATTTTGTAGCCTGGATGCTAATTGAGACTATTGTTATGTTTTCAAACAATAAATTCCTTGCCAAATGAGTTTTAAACAAAATGAAAATACTTAATGCTGAATAATTGCATTCAGCTCTTGTAAATCTTTCCCAGAGTCTGACTGAAGCTACCTCTGAATTACAATAATGACAGACTTGAACGTGTCACTGGGGAGGCAGTTCTCTTAATTTGTTTTACTGCATATTTTAATGGTTTGTGATGCTGGAGAGCCCTCACAATTTTGGGAGAGCTAGAGAACGTACTTGTACTCTGTAAATGAGTCTAGCCAACAAAGGGCTAAACCAAGATCGTGTTACGTTAAGACTTGGCTATGGCCTTCTTCCCGATTCGCGGTGGAACCGAGTGATACGAAAGCAGAAGTCCTGTAGAGCGAGCGTTTACCGGTTCCATGGCTGAACGAAAGACGTATTCTGACGTGCCGCAGCAATCCGATGAATTGCCACGTAGACCAAGATATTTGGAGTTTAGTTGAGGTTTATTAGTAGGTAGCCTGTCTGGTCATGAATTTGATTCAAAGGGTGAATTTCACTTTATATTGGCCAACATGAAGAAAGCTCCTTTCGTTTGCATTTACTCTCCTCTCTTGAAACCTTCTCAACTTTTTATTTTGCCTCGCTCACTTTCCGTGAACGTCTTCTGAACCAGATGTACGGAAATGGTGTGTTCTGTGTGCTTGGTTAATTGGTATGTCAGCTGGTCCTCCGAGACCTCTCTTCGACATGATCGCTGTTTTACTGAAGTGGTTTGAGTGATGTGTTAAATGATGAAAGCAAGGACAGTGGCTTAGAAAAATGTCTCAAAAAAGGTGAAGAAGGTGCTCAAAGAGCCACACAAGGTCACTGTCATTAAAGTAACACTGTATTGACATGGGGATTGGTAGTGGAGACACCCAGGCTCTTGTTGATGGAACTGTTAAAAAGGGAAGCTAGCGTTTGCTGTAGGATTTTCAAATCATCTCCACTTAGTAGTGTCGTACTCCAGTCCCTACAACTTCATGCTAGCACAGTTATAGCATGTTAATTTAAAAGAAATGGCATGTTGAGACCGAGTTTGCAAGGGCTGTTCCGACGTACGATAATATAAAATAGCACCGAAGTAAATCTTCTCATTTTCTTCAATATTCTTCTGAGCCCTTAAAATGTCTGGAATTTCTTTGCTGCAAAGCTGTGTGTAATGAGAAAATGAATTGTTACTTATGAAGGTTAAGAAAACTGCCCCAAAAAACTCGCTGGCAGAGTGTGAGAAGTATTAGATGCAAACTTAGGTGTAAAACCACCGAAGTTTTGAGACCTGGTGAGCATTCTTTTTCCTTTTGAAGTGAGAGGTGTCGGAGGGTGTTCAGTCTTCCCTTTGCCAAAAAAAAAAACAGGAAAAAATGCTGCTAGCTTTTTAATTTTTTTTTATCAGTATTATTCTTTCTCTTTTTTTGGAGTTTGCACTTCTTCAGGGTTTTTTTGAAGTGAATTAAATGTAATAGATAATCTGTAAAACTATATAAATCTATAAAGTTTGTGTGTTTTCATGAGATTTTTAGATGTTTTATGTAAGTGCTCTTGGGTTGACAAAGCACGTTCAATTTAAGCCAGTGACATTGCTGTCGCCAGCTGAAGACTGTGTCAGCATTTTCATTACAAAAGCTGTTTTTCAGGGGTTTATAACTCAGTCATAAAACACACTCCAGGCTGAGCCTGAGCTGTGTGCGCTCTGTAACCGCTTCAGTCGCCCTCCAAGAGCCGTGCCTTCCATGGGAGGAGAAATGAGATTGCCTGGTATTTCTTGTTCCTCTCCAGTATGACTCCAATCCTACCTGGCATGGCTGCTATCCAGAAGTGAACTTCAAAGCTTCCAAAATGGGACAAAATCCATCTTGCTGGTTTTTGATAGGCAGCATTCCCGTCTGGTGGAGGTGTTTGAGGAGCAGGTATGCTACTGTCCCCTTCAGCCGAGCCACTTCCCTGGGATGAGAGGCTGCTGTAGGAGACGAGAAGCTGGCTGAGAAGAGCTTTGGTGGGACCCTGTGGGGCTGGTGCGTTCTCGGGTCCTCCTGCTTCTACAGAGGGTTGCTGCTTGGTTTTCTCCTGGGTTTTAGCATCTCCAGGCTGCCTGCTGCAGAGCGCCGGTGGGCTCTTGAGACAGGGCTGAGGTCTGGAGTCTCCTGCGTAGCGTGAGGAGATGGTAGGTGAGGAGAAGGGAGTTTTGGGAAGGGAATGGTGTAGGGTTGTGATCCGAGTCGTTCGTTGAGGCAGTGTGTAGACTTGCAGATCTTTGCCAGAAGATCCAGGGCTCATTTTATCTACAGATAGAATTGGTGTTATATTATATTGAAATGCAGGAAATTAAAGTGATATGCTTATGCCACGAACCAAGCAAGTTTTGGAAGCAGAATATGAGCGCATCGATTGGCTGATGATACCTTTTTGCACCTCCTTTTGTGTCGCATCCTGGTCTCTGCTTTCCACTGTCCTCTGCTGAGAAAAACAGCTACTTTCCTGTGTTTCAGGCTTCCTTTTAAAATTAACTTTTCTTGCAAAGATTATCAGGGTTCTCTCCTTCAGGGAAAAGGAGCTTGTATATCAGTTTTCATGTTAGCAGCCAGTTCTGAAAACTCCCAAAGTGAGAATTTGAAGTCTTCGGTCACTGGAGTTCTCTGTTGTCTGTATATTTGCAAGGCCTTTCAAGGTTTGCTAGTCGCTTGTGACATTTGTGTTAAGATGCTGTTTTAAGCAATATTTCAAGCAGTTGTATGGCAAGTTTTCAGCAGTTGTGTGCATTCCCACATGTAGGAATTCACTTTTATGGAATCTGGTTAAGGTGAGGAGGTTTCAGAAGAACTCTAAGCAGTCTAAAATACACGATCAGTCACGTATCATCGGCTTTGAAGTGCTGATGGTTCAAGTTTCCCACATGTAGGAATGCACCAATAGATATCCAACAGATATGCCTTGTGTCGTGTATTTCAGGCACGCACACGTGTCTCCTGAGCAGGGTTGACACCGATTGCGTGTGATGTCAGCATTATGGAGTCTGGGGCTTCTCAGCACGCTTGGGAGCACTGATGAAGATGTGAGAAGAGCTCACTCAGACCATGGAGGCAAAGAGGACGAACATGTTTGAAGAGGGTGCTACACAAGAAGCTCTGCTTTAAGATGATTCTCTTAAAGCACTTCAGTCTCTAAGATGCTTTACTGCATAAAACTGATGTAGAGACTCACTTTTATGGAATCTGGTTAAGGAGAGGAGGTTTCAGAAGAACTCTTTCTAAGCAGTCTAAAATACATGATCAGTCATGTATCATCAGCTTTGAAGTGCTGATGGTTCAAGATCAAGACTGTGAGCTGATCTGCAGGAAGTTCTGCAGAGGATGATTTCGTCGTCTGCAGGATTTCACTTACGTGTGGACATTATGGTTGGTCTTCCATCAATTTTATACCCTCACCTAAACAACAGCAGAAAGAGAGATGGGGGGAGGCAGTCTGAGACCCGGAGCTTGGCGGTAGAGCATTGGTTTCTGTAGTGGCACTGGAGACTTGGTGAAGGTTTGGTAGAAGGGGTTGTAGTGCCTGTGCGACCGCTGGAAGCAGACACGGACAGTGCAGTTGACCCTACAGTGTCAAAAGCTACACTGCGCGGAGGCAGGAGGAATATTAATTAAAATAGCCTGTTAGAAGATGGCAAGGGGCAAGCATAATAGGGAAATGAGAATTTGCATTTAATCTCC